CCCCCCCCTGCCGGCAGCGTGTCGCTTATAAATACCCCGGGGACAGACAATCGGCTCCAGTCACAGGGAGGCCCCAGTTGTCTCTCTGGCCATCCCCTTTGACAAGCACTGCTGGTGGCAGGCTAGCCTGAGGGGAGCAGACACAGGTGGAATAGTAGCTGTAAGAAAAACACATGCCTTAAAAGTCAGGTGTGAACGAGGTGCCTGCAGTGTGCACACGTGTGCAGTGTTATACTTGCCACAATATGCCTGACACTTCGCAAGGCAAAGTTCAGCCTCCCCTTGGAGTGCCTCCGCTGGCACTACGGACTGTTCCTGCGGGTCAGCTCTGTCACAGACTTGCTGCAAATATGGCACTGACTTCTTCATTCCAGGGACAGGAAGCTAACCACCCTGAAAACCTTTGTTGCCTGACAGTTGCTCCTGGCAGCAGATGCCTGTGGCAGCCCTCTGTGGGTTACTGACAGAAGCTGTCAAAGGCACTACTGAAGTTCTGCATCCAGAACTTGCTGATCTTTTATGAATGACAATAAAGACACAGAGCAATAGATTTCTGCACTTTCTGATTGCATGAGAGAGTTGTTAGTGGAATTAGAAGATAGCTTTAACTCTCCCACACTCTGTTAAAAGAGTATAAGTTAGGCTGGTTCCTCTAGGAGTCACGTTTCTTACCTTCATTGATGTGCAGCATTTTTAATGGCCACAGCCTTGGCTGTCTACAGATTTACTCTGCCTTTCCTAAGAAGATACACCAAGCCTGGGGGTGGGGGTAGATGGGTGGAGAATGACTCAAGGGTATCTACTGTTGTTCAGACACTCAAGTCCCAAAGCACCTGTTTTGGGATCCCTGTACTAGGCCGAGAGAAGCAATGGCAACTTGGAGTGCTAACAACAGACTCGTGCAGCAGCAGATGCCTCCAGCTGCCTCCCTGCTCTGTGTGAATTTGGTGGCAGTTCTTCGCCCAGCAAAGGGAAATACTGACAGAATCACCTCACGGGCCACCAGCAGGGCCATCCTGGCCTGTGCCACGGCTGCCTGAGGAAACACAAACCCCAGGGAGCCTTCCTCATGCAACAGCCATAGGGAAAGCAGGACACAAAAAAAGGAACCACAGTCTACCTAGAATCTTTACATCATAGCAGTCATGATCGTAGGAGATTGCATCTGTGCCTTTATCCAAAGTTCCCTCAGGAAAGGGTTTTAAAAGCATTTTACATGGTAGGAGAGTTTTGCTACAGACTGATTCTCTTTCGGGAGCTCACACACACTATGACATTTGCAGTATTCAATTTAGCATTGTTTTTCAGAGAGCTAATGTGCTAGATGATGTTTCAGTATAGACTATGTATATTCTCAAACTCTGGAAATAGGAACTATGGAAAAATCTACAGAAGCTGAAGCAAAGTAAGGGTGAGGCACAGCTGGTTCACGTCCAAAAATCACTTCAGCAGCACTGCTAAAATTATTATCTAGGCACCTTGTAAGTTTGAGGACTTCCCTAAAAGTGATTCAGAATTTCAAAATGTCTCTCCTCCCCGCAGTAATTCCTGCATGTGTCTCTGGAGGTGGTGGTGGGATGGACACAAGATGCAGGAGATTGATCCCCATGGAAAGCATTGATAATGGTGAGGCCACTGGTGTTCTGGACTTGGAGAAGAGGCCAGGAAAGCAACCACTGAGCCTGCTACGTAACAAAATCAAGCCAGGACTCAAGGAAGTGGAAGACATAAATTGCATCATTATTTGGTAGAGCAGACTATTCAAAATTAACCTTCCACATGTGACCTGCTGGTAACTCACTCATCCTGACACTTTTGGACCACTTGAGCAAAGCACTGCTCCCCTTCCTCTCATATCTCACACAGCACAGCCAAAGTGAAAAGGAGGTGCCTTGCAGCCTGACAAAACCCACCTGGCAGGAGGGAAATGATCTGTCCTGCATTTTGATAATCACACTGTACTTTCTTGCTTTAGAGTTCCACGGAACAGTCCTTAAGTCTCTTAAGAATCAACTCACAACTCAGCCGTTGAGATGAACTTACCCTAGAGTAAGCTAAAATAAGGGCTAGATCCAGCAAGCTTGAACTGGTCATTTTCAGAAAACCAGCAGCATGCTCTGATGCTGAACACACCACTCTGAGCCCAGTGCAGCTGCCTAAGCAAGGAGGGACAGAAGACCAACCCTGCCTGCAGATGCCACTTCAGAAAAGTGATGGCATCAGCCCGTGGCTCGACACAGCTCTAGTTCATGCAAGATTCAGGTACAGCTTTTACAGTACATGATTCACAATTTCTTCTTAGGAACTGCAAATAAATAAGCATGAACGGTGCACGGAAACATCAGATGAGGGAATCTCACCTGTAGTGCAGTGGGGCTACACATGCAGTGTGGCTAATCACACAGTCACTTCTCCAGTGACCACACTGAGCTACTTGTCCTCCTCCCCATGGCTCTTCACCATGTGCCCCTGGTGACTCCTGGCCATATGGAGACAGCAGAACATGCCTGGTAAAGTCAGGAAGATTGGAGACTGGAGTCAAAACAAGTAGTGAAAGGTGGAGGTAGATGTGAGAGGAGAAATGTTTCTCCTAAGACATTCATCATCAGGATTTCATCCATGTATTTACATATTTCCTAATGATGTTGATAAATATAACAACTCGTGAAAATGCTGATTATTTTCAGAGATTAATACAGTGGCTCTTATTTGCAGTTTGTCTACTGATTGGCCTTCTAAATTAAAGAGCAAACCTTCAAAAAATAGAAAAGCCACCTACCCAAGAGGGATCTAGTGTCAGTTCTGTGAGATGCAACTGATGAAGCTTTGACTGGAAGAGGCTACTGAACCTTCCATCCTGCCTAAACAGCCCCTTTTCCTGGCTTGACTGTTTCTCTCCATCCTTGGCCTCAGTCATGTCTGAACTGAAGTCTCTCCAGCCTCTCTGCTCAACAGCTGCAGATTCAGCGCAGGGATCGCAGCACACCCTGAAACAGATGGCTCAGCGCTTCGCTTTGTGACTGGTGTGCTGCAGGGCAAGGAATGCAGCACTGAATCCTGATGCTTGCAAGTGCTCTCGATTTACAGCCGTGTAGGAAGTAATGGGGTGAAACAGAGTATGCCAGATAACAGAGGGAAAGGACAAGGAGGAGAAGCACAGCTGCCATGAAAACGTGTGCAGTCTGAGAGATGCGAGGCAGGAGGGAGGAGTGAGATCATGGAATTTAGGAGCTCTCAGAAATGCAGCAACATCATGGCCATTGTGGAACTGTCCTTCACAGAGAGGCAACATACATGTCAAGTCCCTGGCAAGTTTCTAAGTGAACTATACTTTGGCTACAAAAAGTATTTTTAATGAACTTGAAACAAAATTAATTGTAAAGATCTCTCAGCTCTAACAGCAAAACTCATTATAAAACCTGCACTAGCACATAATCCAAATCCATTTGGGGTTTCCCTGGGTAGTATTTCCAGGATGAGGAGCACTGGGGGCTGCATATCCCTTTGTGCTTCAGACCCAGGACAGATCCAGCAAGCTTGGCCATGTTCCTGGAAGGGGAAGGAAGGCAGTGGTGGGAACGGGGCTCCAAAGAGTAGGATCAGCGGGTGCCTATCGAATCCCACACAGTGCCAGGCACACGTGCTGTTCTTGTAGAGCTCGGCCTGGTGTTATGCCAAACGCATTTAGTCCTTGAAACCCCACGAAGCGCAGGGCACGGACAGGCACGTGGCTACCCGGCCCTGGGCTCCGCGAGGCCGGGCAGGCCTCAGCCTCACCTGGCAGCGCGTCGCACGTTCGCGTGAGCCAGGACTTCAGTGCTGCCACATCGAATGCCTGAACGGGACCCGACGGTCAAATGACACAAAATAGAGGTGCATCAACCGAAAAGGCTGTTCCAATTTCTACTCAAAGTAGCTCATCTACATAGAAGTAAAAATCCAAGGCTATGTTGTACATCCAGAACAAATGGTACTGCGCCATGAAAACTTTAGTGGCTCACAGCTAGGAAAACTGGTAACTAGTTCTCTCATCTCCTCATCCTCCCGCACTTGGACCCAAAAAGACCCTCATGTTTAAGACACAAATACAACACAGAAGGACTCTTCTCAAACAGTTTAATAGCAAATAAACAAAGGAAGGTACCACACTTGGCATATACAAAATGACTTGTTGTCGGTGTGTCTGTGCAATTAAAACAGCTTTAACTTGCCCTTTGGGACAAAAAGGAAAAAAAAACCCACACACACAAAAGGAAGAAAATTCCTTTAACACATAATTGCTTGTTCCAAACTTGTAACAAATCTTTTCATTTTTAAATCCACTACACAAACTCTGTGATCAGGTCAGAAAAGCAACATGCGCTCCTCTGCTTCGAAACCATTAAAGTAAAACCCGAAATTCTCTACAGAGTACAACACAATTCACACAAAAAGACATTTTGTTTTGCAAATCAAAACAAGAGAAAAAGGAACAGCTCAAACAAGGTAAAGAAAAGCATTTCTACGACTGAACCACGACTTAGAGTTGATTAAATCCTGTTACTGCAGAACAGACTCTACATTTGGTCATAGTGGCAATTTGTTTTCTTGTCACATTGTGAATCGCTTTACATTGTTTTCTAGTAGAAAAGGCAAAAAACTGTACAAAACCCCTAGTGTTAAATACAATGTTTGTACCAATAAAAAAGCCCACAGGTTTGTCTCCAAAATGTAAATTTTCTTTTAAATTATTCACAAAAAGCAGCCAAAATCAAAGGCAGCTGCTGCTCCACTGTCTCAAATCCATTAAAACCACCACAGAACAATTAAA